TAAAGGAGAAGCTGAATAAGCATTAGAAGGGCACACAGTGATTTCACACATGAAACTCAGGTTACTAATCAAGAGAAGTACTGCTGTGAAAATGAAAATGATTGCATCCTCTGATGTGGCTCAAAAAGAATCTTTCCAAAGATGAAAAAAAGAAATGGTGATGAAAGACATGGGAAATGTAAAGCCCCGGGGCTTGACTCGCAATTGTTGAATACACTAAGATTTAGAATATTATTGTATGTGTTGCTCAAGTTGGGGCAAAATTTTCAAAATCAGCTAATGAGCCACAATTTAATGTAAGAGCAACAGAAAACAGGTGCCATAACTAATCAATAGACCCATGAAAAAGAGACCTGTTGTTGACAAGAGTTACAAGGGAAACTCCACAGACAAAGGTGATAAGAATTAAACATGATTCTTCCTTTAAGACCATTGAAGGGAAATTCCTATTTTCTGTTTTATTTCCCTGGAGGTACTGTACAGCTGTCAGTACAGCTATCCTAGACCGGGTATACCTCCACTGTTTTATGCAGTGACTGATTATCAGATGGTTTAAGCAAGTATTGTATGATTGTAGTCGTTCGTGTGGATTATTATCATCTAATAAATATCATTCATCATTATTATTTTATAGAGTTTAAAAAAAAAACAAATTATAGCATTATAAGAACCAGAGTGGTGTGCTTTATTTCTCAGCTGATTCTAAATCACGAAACTAACACACAGAAAAAAACCAGCCTCCTCACAGCACTGGTATGCAAAGAACCACGATCACACACTTAGGCAGTACACACCTGCTCTCAAGGTGTGTGCGTGACAACCTTTGCGTGAGTAGAAACTTACCAACCTTCACAGTCATTACACCAGCTTTTATGTCCAAGAATTCTTTAAGAGGTATATGGCTGAGGGCAAAACATTTTTTTTCTTGTTTTTTCTACTCCCAGTCCTACTTCTCTGAAATGGACACATTTGCAAACTTAGACCAAGCACCTTCAGGCCAATGTACAGCCTATCACTGTGATCTCTTTGGTCATTTGTACACACAGCTTAGTATCTATACAGTAGCACAGCTGATGGCTTCCCGTTGTAGCAAATAATCTCTTTAATCCTGTTAAGAATGTGCCCCTCACCACAGCAACTCTCCTGTCACTCACATCAATGCTCCCACATCTTTCCTCACCTGCTCCCCACATTTGTGGCATTTACAGCTGTTGAATACTGCTCACCATTTGTGATGTGACACACACTCCTGCAGCCACTGTAAACACAGTATTCTCTGTAAAAGCTCCCATGTCAGGCGGTCCGCACACAATCTCAGTCGCATTCATCTCAAATCGGGTTCAGTTTTATCCCTGGGGCTTATTGACACCCATCACACAACTTACAAATGCAACAATTGAAATGTGATCCGTTTGATTCGGAAACACTTCAAGTGGTGTATACTGTATAATGCCAAAGGGATACTCCAATGCTGTTCCAGATTTTGGATTTACTTAGGTTCACTGGACTGCATTAAAGTTAATATTTATTCTTTTCATATTATTGAATTCTGACACTGCTGAAAGATGAGTTTCTGTTACTTCCTCAGCTTGGCAAAATCTTGCAACTGTTGCAAAGGTTTTAATGCAAGGTAAACATAATCTTTTCCCTCCATAACTGCATTATAAACCTGTTTTATAATTTATTTATGGTGTTACGATAATGATATAAAATATATTGTTACAACCAGTTTGTAGGGCTAGTAAAAATGTGACATATTTAAAACATTGTGAATAAAAATAGAGCTGCTTCATTGTAAAAGGAAAATTAACTTCAGCAGATCATTGTGCAGTTACGTTTCTTTACATATTAAAGAAAATATTTGAAGATTACCACACATGATCACAGATCTAAAAGCCCTTTTTACTGCAGTGACCTCTTTTGTTAAAATTAATTAATAGTTTTGCCCAGAAACTCCATCCACCTTGTTCTTATCCTTGCAAAACCTCTGGGAACTGCTGCGTGACAGAAAGGGTGACTGGTTCACCTTGTTCCTAAGTTTCAGTTTTCGTAACTTTCTTTGCCTGCTTTAGGTGGATTCTCGCCTGTGTGGCAGTTCGGAATGGCCCCACGGTGTTACATGACTGCAGTGAATGAAGCCTGAGTGACAGATTGCATGACTCCAAAGCCCCAAGATCCTCGCATTTACAGAAGCTATAGCGCGCAAATATGTGCACCTTCGTGCCCAAGCAGGGTGGAGAAAAAAAGTGTCTGCGCTCTTTGTTCTGCAAGTTTAAAACCCTTGTGTCTTTTCCAGAGGCTGTTGCCTTCGCGTGACTTGACCAAGCAGATTTAGGATTGTCCAGAAGACCGAGACCCTCCCCTTTGGACGGCAGCTCCGCTTCTCACGCAATCTGCAGCACCAGAGGCGCAGCGCCGTGGCGCACTGCAGAGTCTCGGGAGAATCAGCACTCCCATCCCGGAGGAGCACGACAAAGCTCAGGGTCGCCGATTTTGCGCCCCAGATGAACAAAGAAAAGTTTTGCCTTTATTTATTTATTTATTTATTTGTGTGCTAGTTTAAAGTTATTCGTGAGTTTTTTCATCTTAATTAAAAGAAAAGGGGGGGGGGGGGGGGGGAGTAAACAGGCAAATCAATCAATCAATCAATAAATTGTGGTTATGTGCTACACCCTATTAAAGCGAACGGGATACTTTCAACAACCAAAGAATAGATTTCATTTTTAAAAATTATGTCTATATCACGGGCAAAACGCATTAAAATACATTTGTCCATAATATCTTTCTCTTTTTCCTGCTATTTAGCTTGTATGGTGGTCAGAGCACTCTTGGTGGTGTTTTAAATTAAGGCTGAGTAGAAATTTTCAGGATGTAACGCAGAGACTTTTCATGTCACTCTGCATAATAATAAATAAAATGAAGTGAAATGAAATGTGTATTTCATAGAAAATTAGGCCCAATAACAGGCTTGGTTAAAGTTTAAAGCCCGAATTATAACTGACACTTCTGATCAGGATTTTTCCAGAGCAACACTATTTAAAAGGCTGCGATGGTGAACGCCGTGCTTTGATTGGTCATTTTTAATGTTTTACCAGTGCTGCTTAAAAAATAATGCTATCATGGACATTTTTGATCTACTGTTTTCTGAGAAATGGCGATTGTCTGAGTTTTTGTTCCCTCACAATAATAATAATAATAATGATAATAATAATAATAATAATAACCGCCAACACGGCCCAACCCTTTAGTTCATCATCTTTGCATTGCTGTGGCTGGAATAAGAATTCGGAACCCACGATGGACTGAGAACAATTTTTCAATATCATTTTCAGAGTCTTTCCAAAGCTTCGGGTAAATACAAATCACACGGACTTTCAGAGAAAATTAACTTTTTGAAGAACTTATTGCTGCATTAAAATCAACATTTGCCTCCAATCACGTCGTAGTTGAACAAATATTCAGAATATTAGCACTAATACACAGGCCTAAAAAATAAAATGTATATCTGTCTGTTGAATAACCGTTAAATTGCTTTGTGATGACATTGTGATTGTACGTTAAAAACACAACTAGTAAGTTGATTGTAAAAGCAAACGTATACAATTAGGTCATGTTGAAAAAGGTCATCTATATTCTGATCATAAGTCCCCGAGAACTTTATAGTAACACATTTTGACATCTGTGATCACACAAACTGAAGATCAGTGAAATGTAAAGTGCAGGTTGCGTAGAAGCAAGTGAGGATAGTTTAAGAGTTCAGACTTTTAAATCTTATTAACACTTAATTCTACAAGTTTTTCTTTATAACAAATCTCATGCAGACGTATAATAGTAAAGACTATATATATTTTAAGGGAAATAATTAATCAATATACTTATACACTTGCAGGGTGGGGGCAACTTTAAAAAGCTTCACTTCTCAAATGAAGTTATTATTAAAATGCAGTTGTTAACCCCTAAATTACACTGTGTTCTGTGTAATTATATACTGAAAGAATAAAAGTGGTGACAATAAGATATGAATACTGAACGTATCTGTCCCAGCGCTCGAGCAGTGAAACCTAACTGCTCTCCCTCCCTCCCTCCTTTCCTCTCTCCCTCCCCTCCAGCATCCCCTTCAAAGGAGAGGTGAGGGCTTGATCACTGTGCTCTCACGCAACTGGTCAATCTTTAACTCCAGCGGAGAACTAACAGGTACAAGCACGCAATGGCATCTGACTGTTTTATCAGGACTTAAAGCCGTCTGGGAGGTTACAACTGGGGGGTTGTCACAAACGTCCGTTCTAACTCCAAATGTTTTAAGCATGACGAGGTCCTTCTGTAGTTAAATAAGTTATCATCTTTAGGGGATACATTTTTCATGCAAAACTGGGCTGCAATGATGTAGGTGATTTTCGACTCATTGCGCTGTCCATTCTTGCCCAGTAAAACCAATTTCACATCACGCTAGTAACAAGCTGCCCTAAATTATCGATACAAGTTACAGCGGGTTATAAGTTGGTCGAAGGAATTGCTGAGACATCACCGAGTGCTTGGGCAAGAATCACGGAGATGCAACAGCCTGCAATCATTGGCAATGAGAATAAGAACAGTATTTTTTTACCGCTCAGACTGTGACACTCGAAAAACAAGCTAAATCAGTCCGAAGAAAGTTGGCACAAGGCAATGTAATCACAGATTAAAAACCGTTCTACAGTTGTGGAAGTTATAAAAAATGATTGTGCCATATGTGGCCCTAAACAAAAAATATAAACTCATATAAATGATAAAGACATGATGACTCCTCTTTGCATTTCTTATGTATTTTTTTTCCAGAACACACGCGCGCGCGCGCGCGCGCAGGCAGGCAGGCACGCACCGTTTTTTCTGTACTAAGTTCATTCATGACAAAAAAGGGAGGGAGAGGGGGCAGGGTACGTCACAAACAGTAGCCAATCAAGCTGTCGAGCACAGTATAAAGCAGGAGTCCATTGCCGATTTTAGGGACATCAAGAGTGTGACCTCACAACAACTCTTCCAAACATTTTACATGCACTTTGGAAAAACTACTCCAGGAAGCAGAGTGCCGTTTCTCCTGCATCAGTTCATCAAAGGTAAGCTTAAAACATGCATATACAAAATGGCAAGAATGCAGCAGACTGATTTATAGGCTGACTGACTTATTAGCTGGAAGAAAAGAGAAGTGCAAAATGGAGATTATTTCTGCTAGAATAACTTTGATGCATTACTTAGTATTTTCACCTGAATCATAGACTGTAGTAATTAATTTATACCTATACACATAGGCCACTACTTTGCATAGACTACCTGTAATAAGTGCTGGTGTGCTTTTAAAAATAAAAAGCCAAATAGATACATGCAAATACACGTCAGTTCTCAGTTACTTCAAACTTTATAGTGAATGTTTTCTACATGTTGCGTAACACTTATTTCTCTCTCTCCCATTGTCTACACTGCTCTAATGCACCTGCAATTTAATTTACAGGTTGAAGCCAGAAAAACGTCATCATGGCACTAATGATACTGCCATTCATTGGAGCACTGTCAGTATCACATGTTTTGGTGGCTGTGACAACAGCGTGTCTGGTCTACCTGATTATTAAGAATGCACAAAACAAGATTCCCGAGGGGCTTCAGCAACTCCCTGGCCCAAAACCCTTCCCTATCATTGGGAATGTGTTAGAGCTGGGAAATAGACCCTACCTGAGTCTCACTTCTATGAGCAAACGCTACGGTGACGTCTTCCAGATCCAGATTGGCATGCGTCCTGTGGTCGTTTTAAGTGGTAATAAAACAGTTCGACAGGCTCTCATCAAACAAGGGGACGAGTTTTCAGGCAGACCTGACCTGTACAGCTTTCGCTACATCAATGATGGCAAGAGTCTGTCTTTCAGTACAGACCAAGCTGGCATTTGGCGTGCCCGCAGAAAGCTGGCCTACAGTGCCCTGCGTTCTTTTTCCAACTTAGATAGCACAACCCCAGAGTACTCATGTGCCCTGGAGGAACATATCAGCAAAGAGACTGAGTATCTGATCAAAGAGCTCAACACTGTCATGAAGACCAAAGGCAGCTTTGACCCCTTCCGCTATGTCGTCGTCTCTGTTGCCAATGTCATCTGTGGCATGTGCTTTGGCCGGCGCTATGACCACCATGACGATGAGCTGCTTAGCTTAGTGAACCTCAGTGATGATTTTGTCAAGGTTGTGGGCAGTGGCAACCCAGCGGACTTCATCCCCCTTCTTCAGTACCTGCCCAGCACAAAAATGAAAAAATTTGTGAGCCTCAATGCTCGCTTCAGCAAGTTCGTTCAAAAGCTTGTCACCGAGCACTATGCCACCTTTGACAAGGTACGCCTCACACTATACAATATTATTTAGCTCATTGTACTTTGCAGAAATTACAGACATTAATTTAGATGGTCCTTAAATCCACTTTTAGGACAACATCCGTGACATCACAGACTCCCTCATAGATCACTGCGAGGACAGAAAGCTGGACGAGAATGCAAATGTCCAGATGTCAGATGAGAAGATTGTTGGAATCGTCAATGATCTATTTGGAGCTGGTAGGAGAATTATTTTCTTTGTGTTAAATGATATAATCATAAAGGAACATAACTTCGGAGAAAAAAATATTCTGACCGAACTTTTGTGTCTCTCCTAGGTTTTGACACCATCTCCACTGCTCTGTCATGGTCACTGATGTACTTTGTGGCTTACCCTGAGATCCAGAACAGGCTTTTTGAAGAAATTAGTACGTATAGTTTTTTTGGGGACATATTGTATTTCTCTTACATGATAGATTTTTGATAAAAGAACAACTAAATGATAAGAAAGTGCATCGATACATCTTGTTGCTCTCAAAGCAGAATGATTAACTGTAATTTGGTAATCACTGACAGAGTCAGAAGGTACAATGTCAATCCTCATCTTCTCGTACGCTAATATTTTATCATCTCTTTTCATTTTCAGAGGAAAAAGTAGGTCTCGATCGTATGCCTGTTTTTTCTGATCGGAACAACTTGCCCCTTCTTGAAGCCTACATCCTGGAACTCTTTCGCCATTCTTCATACCTGCCCTTCACAATCCCGCACTGGTGAGATTCATTCATTTTGTAATAAGAAAGTAAAAGGATATAGGTGTTAAATGACCTGCTAAGTATCACAGAAGACCAAAAAGATGGACACAAAACAAGGCTTTTACAGTCATAAAAATAAACGTGAAAACCTGTCATTATGCAATGAATTAACACTTTGTTGTTTTTTAGCACCACAAAAGACACATCACTGAATGGCTTCTTCATCCCCAAAGACACCTGTGTCTTCATCAATCAGTGGCAGATCAACCATGACCCGTAGGTTTCCTGTGCTACATTTTTACTTTGCCAAAACGAATGATGCAAACTGACTCATATTCAAAGCTACCCTATACTAGAGAAATACAGTAACATGTCTTTCACCAGGCCATTTTATGGATAGTTGTAAAGAAAGACAATAGTAGTCTTTATTTCCTTCCCCAAATCTGCCTAGAGATTTGTAAGCTTTCAAGCCTGTTAGCGCAATATTTTTTATTCCTCTTTTTTCTGAACCTTTCAGGGAGCTGTGGGAAGATCCATTTTCCTTCAAGCCAGAACGTTTCCTGAATGCTGATGGCACTGAGGTCAACAAGGTAGAGGGAGAGAAGGTGATGACTTTTGGCTTGGGAAAGCGACGCTGCATTGGCGAGGTCATTGCACGAAATGAAGTCTTCCTCTTCTTGGCTACCCTCATTCAAAAACTAAACTTTCAAGCTTTACCTGGAGACCAGCTAGACCTGACCCCAGAGTATGGTCTAACAATGAAGCACAAACGCTACCATCTGAGAGCCACAATGCGAGTTAAGAATGAGCAGTGAGGTTCCTTGTAATGTACAATTTGTAACTTAGTAGGTGATATAAGCTGAAGCTGTAAGGATCAAAGTTAGAATGTAAGACAATGGATATCAAATTTGGCTTAAAGAGCTAATAGCATTAAAGCAAATAAGCAGAGTTTGCTTATTGCACAAGTGATGTCTAGGTCCGTGTCTCTTGTTCTGTTTTTGGTTCGCTAAGAGATACTTCTGCAAATGGCTGCTGCTTCTCAGTGAAGTTTAAGGAGTTAGTTTGTTTCTCTTGCTGTGTTGTTAGCAGCAATATAAACTGCTCCCATTCAGAAATGAAAACAAAACAACTGAACTTTGGGACAAAGCATATGTCTTACTGGGTGGATAGTTTAGTATGCTGCAACCAAACCTTTTCTACGGGACTCTGAAGTGAACATATTTTACCTTGTGATAACATTTACACATGTAAGCTAATTATTTGCATTCCATTATGCTGTGGATGTAAGACACACTGAAGCTATATCTGTATCCCAAAATGTGATTTTGAGTGAACACCAAGACTTTTGTATTTCATAATGTTGTTTTTGTTTGTTTGTTTATTTTGTTTTTAAGATCATAACATTTATATTTGCTGTGCAATTATATGACTTATCAAGACAGCATTGCGATCAATTGATTTTGGAATATATGTAATACACTTTTATATTTCAGTTGGTAATGTACAAAATGTAAGGGCATGAAACCTTGATACACAAATAAAAATGTATTTTAATTAGTTGTTCTCGTTCATCTTGACTTGGGGGAAAAAAGACCGCCAATAAATGAATAAAGAAACAAATAACACATAAATAATCACAATATAATTAGTTTTGTAGAAGAATCGTGTACATAGTGAGATTATGTGTGAGTATTGATCGTCACATGAGTGGAGACAGACACAAACAAAGCAACGTGGGACATAAAGGAAGTGACGTAGTATCCCGGAACACAGCGCTCACAAAAAAAAAAACAACAGCCTGGGCTCTGTCTTGCTTTGACATTTCACCACAGCTTTTCGCTAAGGTAAATCTACCCACTGTAGATTCAGTAGATTTAGGCTCTTAGCTCAACGGCGACAGAAACCAAATTCAAAATTGCTGCAATCTGCTTTTATTAAAACAAAGAAAGAAAAAAGAGGGGACAGAAGACAAGCTAATGTTAGCTACCGAGCTAGCTATCATAGCTTCCTTGGTATACGGCGAAATGTTGAGATTTGCGTAATTTTGTTTAAATATTGTCCTCACAAGAATGTCAGCAACAGCTTTGGTCATTTTTAAATAAATAACTAAGTATTACAACATGACAAACGAAGGCTTTCCTGCTAAAACGGTAGGTTGCTAATATTTACACCTACTTGTGAAACGTCTGATTTGTAATACGCCCACCACAACCACACAGGTGCTGGTTAGTTAAGCTAATTAAAATCTAGTTTTATCTTGTGATTTTTAGCTTCCACGGCCGCTTTTACTAACGCAAAGTTTATACTCAGCGTTCAGGACTCTTAGTGTAAAGTCTTTTTCTTATAAGGTCTCTGGTCAAAAAAACAAGTTGTACGCCAGATGGCTAATTGCTGGTCATGCCTAAAATGGCCCAAGTTAGCCAACTTTTAATAAATTAGTCTGCAAACCGTATGTACTCGTTACACTGAATTAGCCTGTTAAACATTTATCTAACACTTATCTCACTAAAGCCCTTTTTCCGTTGTTGTTTTTAAAACAGGATCATTGTAAAGAGAATGGCCACAGACTGGGTGGGTAGTGTTGTGTCCATAGACTGTGGAGCAACGTTGGGAGTTTATCAGGGTGAGGTTTCATCTGTTGATCGAGTCAGCCAAACAATCTCCCTGAAACATCCTTATCACAATGGAGTCAAGTGTCCTGTTCCTGAGGTCACATTCAGGTAATGCATAGAATACACCAGGGAGCTCAGAACTTTGACCAGGTTTTGTAATTCTCCTTGGTGTGTGTGTGTGTGTGTGTGTGTGTGTGTGTGGGTGTGTGTGTGTGTTTAAAGACCCTTCAGCTTCCCCTTTAGTGCATGAGTACAACTTTGAAAAAAGTGTGTGTTTGTATAAAATCCTCAGTGCGTGCTACTGACATGTCACATTTTTATTTTGCTGAAATAAAAAGCATCTGGAAATTAATACAAAACTAAACAAGTGTACTACCTTGCTTAATAATTCAACAGATCCCCATGTTATGTTGAACTTTGATCATGTTTTAGCAATTAAAAGTAAAGAATGATTATTGAACTCTTTGCAGTGAACTGAAGTTTGAGTTGACTGAAAATTTTTCAAATTCAAGGAATCCATGCTCACCACAGAAAACATCAGCACAAGCTACTGCTTGCCAGTAAACCCAGAGGTGAAGGCCTGTTTTGACTTCTGGTTAGACGAATCAGAAATGCGTTCTTTTTTTCCACCGTAACAGTGGACATAAATTGTTTGACAGCATCAGTTTCAACAAGCAGTATTGTGATAATGAGTTTTATAGTGGCTTCTAAAGTCAAAAAGATGTAATAATAGGCCCAGTATGAGAGAAAATCAAGTCTTTGTTTATCCAAATGTCATGACGTCAATAATGGTATATACTTATTTTTTTCCATAACTGTACCAGTATTACTTAGTTTTTATTAAGTTTGGCATCACCATGTATTCATTGAAAATTTTAAACATAGTCATCCCAAACTCCATATTTTTCTATGAATGACAAACGAATTGACTGTAAGTGCTTGTTGAATGAATAGCTTTAAAATTAGGCAAAATATATTAATTTAAAATTTTAGAACCAGTCAAGAACTCCGTTAATATCACTTTTTCTGGTTTTGGATTGAAAATTATTTCCCAGCAATGTAACGAATGGATATTTCATTATTAACGTAGTACCATTTGGATTCCAAGTAATGTTAGTTTTGTTTTTGTTTTTTTGTCCCTTTTAGTGCTATGGATATCAAGGACTTGAAGTTTCTGGATATCCAGAACAAAGTCAACAAGACCAGCGCTGGGAAAGACACTGCAACAGAACCCAGCTACATATCAACAGGACGCCATGGCCAGACTAACAAAACAAATCACTCTCTTGCAATAAGCAACAGCTCTGGTTTGAGCAGCAACCCCCGTAAAGGTAGGTCATGACCTGAAAGAATTGACATTTCATCATCTAGCTGTTTATTTAATTGGTAGTTAATATAGGAATAAAGCACTTTAACACTAAAGGTCAGTACCTTATAGTCACTTGTGTAATTCACCTCTGTTCATGTTAACAAAAATAAGCTAGTGTTTTGTTTTGTTTTTCCTTCCATACCCTTCTTGGGTAAGACTCAAGCAGGTGCACACAAACTTAGACTTTGGCAAAAATGCAGCACTTTAATAATTTGTTCTATGTTCTACTTATCTAATTATATTCCTATTATTTGATGCAAAGTCTAATGTTTGGAAAGTAATAACAAAATTCAAATGTATGGTGAAAATTACTAAATTCATTTTTTTCATTTTTAAGTATTGTTTTTTTTGGACTTGTAGGGAAGAAAAAAATCTGTTTTGTACCAATGAAAAGGCCAAATTTATGTTTTTAAACATGTCAGAAACCTTTTTGCTATGACATGAGACAAATGCTGTACTTGTAAGCATCCGTTCATATAACATCTTGACCACTGATATGACAGATAACCGAGTGACCTTTAGACTCAACAAAGGATGTGCTAATCAAACTACAGCAACTGAACACAGCTTGGAAAGCATGTGGTTAGGCATTATCATACGAGAATGGTGGCATATTATTTTACAGTTGTTCCAGAACAATGAGACAGTTTGACATCTTTATAAAATGGGGAAATCCCTGTGTTTTTAAGACTTCAGCTTATTGCTTACTGTGAAGCTTTGTTTCCTAGTTGTCAAATCACAGAGGGCTATTGTTGCAGAGTGCAGCAATAATGTTGAGAGTGATGAAATACGTAACAGGAATTTACCACAGCAATGGCCATAGAGTTCTCTTCTGTTAAGTAGAAAATGAAATTGATATTGTTCACTGACAATATAGGATTGGGCAATATGTGAAATTGTTGACAATCAGCAATTTCACATATTTCCCAATCACACTTTTAATTGCCTGAAAGTTGCCTCAATGAAGATGGGCAAAAGTGCAGTGTCACTTAACATCAGAGTTTGTGTTTGTACAATCGAAATGTTCTTCACCAAATAACAAAAAGGAAGTGCAAATCATTTTTGGTTACATAAAATCTAAACTATAAAATGATTAATAGCCTGATACAATGGCTTTTAGTTTTTAAATTCTTACTGTTTTTAACTTGTATTGTGTTTTTACTTGTACTGCTATTTATCTCTTTTATTTATTCATCTTTTTAGTTTCAAAAAATCAATTTTTGAAACTAAAAAGTATTCCAGTATCAATTTGTCTTTGATACTGGAAGGGAGCTCAAAGATTTTGGTTATCACGACTAGTTTTGTATGCCACCCTGACCTAACAGTAGTTTGATATACACACTTTGCTTTCACCAAACAATCAATCACAGATTTCCAGTGATTTGGAAATGTTTATCTGATAGAAACAAGAAACTAGCATAAAATTGCTGGATGTAATGTAAAGCTGGGCATACACTGTGCGATTTTTATTTTTTATTTTTATTTTTTTATTTATTTATCTATTTTTGCGCACATTTTAAGACGATTTTTCACTCGTGCGACCCTTTTGGGGATCGGCCCGATTTTCGCCTTAGCATACAAGAGATAACAAGAAGCAATTAGCACCTCACAGCCAGCTCCCAGTCAGCAATCGTGTGGTCACAAGAAAATCAAACCTGTTTGAAATCCTGGTCGCCCCTCGGATCGGGCCATATAGTGTGAGAACATATATCGTGAGCTACGAACTTCTAACCCCTGCAATTCAGTCGTACAGTTTGAGTAGGAGCTCAAAAGCGACTGAAAAAAATCACCCAGTGTATGATCAGCTCAATGTAAAGGAGGATGCGTCAGTATTTTGAACTGAGTAATATAAGGATAAGTGGAAGTGAATGTCAGCATGGTGATTAGCACTGTTGAAGGTCCTGAGTTCAATTCCACCATCAGGCTGGGGTCTTTCTGTGTGGAATTTGCATGTTCTCCCGGTGTTTGCGTAGGTTCTCTCTGGATACTCCAGCTTCCTCCCACAGTCCAAAGACATGCAGTTGGTGGGGATAGGTTAATTGGATACTCTAAAATTGCAAATAGATGTGAATGTGAGTACGAATGGTTGTCTGTGTCTATATGTTAGTTCTGCGACAGACTGGTGACCTCTCACCCTAAGACAGCTGGGATCGCGACCCTGTAAAAGGATAAGTGGAAGTGAATGGATGATAATTGAATTTTTTTAAAAAGCATACAGCTATTATGAGATGCAATTGCAAGGTGCCTTGACTGATTTGAAAAAAGACTTGAAATTAGTTGGTTTGTTTGAAGTAGTGCAGCGTTACACCACTCCCAGCCAAACTGTCACGCTTGGAATGCACACTCTATACACATCAAAGACAATCTCCTGGATTTCACATTGTCAAAATGGTGATGCGTGAACTTGAGCTTTGTTTCGGGTAAGCTCGAGAGTTGGACAGGTAGGGAGTGACTGTTGTGCTGATATATCTCGATATTTTTTTAAAACCATAAAGTAAGAACAGAAAGACAGGTCTTAGTCAAAGCTGTGTCCCAGATGTCACACAGGCACTTTTATTAACATACAGCACAGATGT